GCACTATGCAAACTGCGTACTCTGCGTATAGGGAGCGGCAGTACTGATTCATAAAATCTTCCGATCCTTCAAGAAATGCCTCAATGTTTGTCAAGTATTTGGTGGATAAAAATAAATCTCAAGACGCAACGTGTCACAAGTTATTCCCTCGCTCAGCTCCAGCGGCTTTAGTTAGTTTTTAGGCCGCTACACTCTCAGTGCCCCACAACCATATACCCTAAGACTCTGTATAATTATTAACATACAAGAGCAAAGTCATGGTTGAGATCAATCAATAAAATGTTCAGGTAAAAGGCATCTATTGATTTATCTTAAAAATATTTTGTTGTAAGATTATTTCTGAATGACATGACTGTCTGAATGACATCATGTGTTGATGACATGACATTTCTAGCAGTGCAAGATCATTATTAGGCTATGCATGCAAGTTTAGAAAAACATATTAAAGGGGTCATATGATGTTGCTAAACAGAACATTATTTTGTGTATTTGGTGTAATGAAATTTACAGTTTATGCGATTTAAGGTTCAAAAAACACATTATTTTCCACATACTGTACATTATTGTTTCTCCTCTATGCCCCGCCTTTCTGAAAAGCGTCGATTTTTACAAAGCTCATCGGTCTGAAAAGCAAGGTGTGCTGTGATTGGCCAGCTATCTAGTGCATTGTGATTGGCCGAATACCTCAAGCGTGTGACGAAAATGTTACGCCCCTTACCATACTGTGATGGCGTGTCCTGGCACGACGAGACAAAAACATTAAAACCCATTATAAACGAGGCATTTGTTGCATCCAGTGGGGACATAATTACGGATTATAATGATTTATACTGTCTTTTTTTTGTGTTGCGTTGCATCGCGCCGCGTAAACATAAAACCATGTCTGCATTTGTGATCGGATGACAAACAACAAGCGCTACTCTACACTGCTCGCCTTTGAATCATCAGTGGCAAATCCTTAAAATGCATTGCTGTTCTGTTGTAAGTAATCTTAAAGATTCCTAAATGCATCTACTTCCGGAAGGCCAAATAAAGTGCTTTTGCTTTCACCTAGAAACACACAGCGTCTCCCTGACATGCTGCTTCAACACTAACTGCGGTTACTGAAACCATGCCTTCTTTCTTTGCAACATTTGGGCGGAATTATGCAAATATTTCCACATAGTGAGGTAGATATGTGGGGGCGTGTTCGATCGAGTCGTTTTAGGGGGGCATGGCAGAGTCTTAACTTTGATAAAGAATATCTCTTTGGTTTTGAGACTTTAGTCTTTGCAACTTCAGGGATCTTATCTATGCACAATCAGCTTGTAACACTCCAAAGAGAAAGGAAAACTTGAAATCGCATCATATGACCCCTTTAAACACTTGAACTCTAAAAATATAAATATTTAATTTGTTTACCGGCATGTCAAGTGACATCAAACTGTAAACCTGTGAATGTTTTGTTAAATTACTGAAATATTAACTTTCTCAGATATTTCAAGTAAATATCTCATGTCAAAGGGGTTTGGCTAACAAAAATGTTTGGGAATCCCTGCATTACATGAACAAACTTTAATAAACATGAAAATGACATGACATTAAATGTCCAAAGTCTTCCAGGTTAGAAATATTTTGTTCAGACTTTCAGAATCAAAAGTTACTGAAGGTTGGATATTATGAAGACAGAGTGTTTTACAGCTATACATCAACAGTAACTTGCATATTTCTTTGTTTCATACATGGTCTAATTGCTTGAGAGGTGCTTTTTTCACCCAAATTCAGAAGCACGGTTTGCAAATTTATTTACATGACCATTCTATATTGTGAATATAGTCAAAGTTAAATGGTATGACACACAGTAGGATTTTTAGAGGAAAATGTAAAACTCCCTTGAATTAGGGAGAATCAGTAAATTATGAATGATTTACTGCCATTGTGTAAATAATATTTAATCATGTAATCCATAAAAAAGAAACTGTAATCTGATTATGAGCATTATAAAGTGTAATATACACTAATAACGAGTACTTGATTTTTGGAATCTGATTACATAATACAGATTACATGTAATCAGTTACTACCTAGCACTATTCATTGCACAAAAGATTTTTTACAGTGGAAAAATGTTCTTGAGATTATTCAAATATTCTTTACACTAAGAAAATGGTTCTTCTATAGCATAGCTGCAACAACACACTTTTGGACCCTTTATTTTTAAGAGTATGTGATAGTAGAACGTATTCATCAATAACGTCTAAACAATCACACTTGCAAACATTTATACTCAAATACAAAATGGTTCAGATGATCCCACTTTTCCCCAATTCAAAATGGTCTAACGCTTCTTCTTCTGTAAAGTTACAGCAAGTTGCTTTCTGAAGTATAGATTTGCCTAATCTGATTACAGATCATTGGATTGTCAGTGTGCCATAAAAAGTGCTCTAGAGGAGAGAGAGCCGCTGTCCGGCCAACAATGGGCGTCTCTCCAGCCAGCGATGCACCTGCCTGCACTCCAAGCAGCTCTCCTGTCTCGCACAGATAACACTTTCTACCCTCTCTCCCATGCTTCCTTTATTTTTAGGGGAGCAAATATAAGGATTTATGACCCCTCCAGCCTCCTCTTTTGGAGACGGGGTTTCAGACAGAGTGGGAAAAATTTAGCATGCAGCATGTGAATTGGTTTAGACGTATAAAGAGATCAGGGCTAATCGGTTGGCACCAGAGACACTTCTGCATTCAGCCTCCTTTCGGGGAGGGCAACGGAGTGCGGGAGTGAATGCATGTGAGAGAGGGAGGGAGGGAGAAGCCCATGATCTGCTCCATTGTGATAACAGATTTAGGCAGAGTGTGAGGTTCCGATAAGGAAAAGCACACTCAATAGCAGATTAGCCGCATACTTGGAGTAGAACAGTGAAGGAGAGGAGGACACTTGGAAAGAAGAGGAGATGTGTTAGTCATGCTGATATAGATTCTGTTTATTATTTATTATTGTTACTCCCTTTTCATCAAATTAACATTTGCTTTATCAGTTGCTGTGTAACAGAGCTCGAGTCCGATACATCAAATTTATTTATATAGCACTTTTCACTATACACAAAACGTTTCAAATCAGCTTTACAGGAAATCATGTTAATGTTGCATTTAGTGGATTAGAGCTGGGCAAACACATAGTTTACATCTTGCAACGATACAAGCAATCAAGCTGTTGAGATTTGTTATATAGTATATATTGCCCAACATGTGTATATTGTATGTATGTGGGAAAAGTTGGCCATTTTTATATATCCAACTTTATAAAGAGAGCTTGGTAATAGTATAGTTTACATTTTGCATCGATATCAGCAATCAAGCAATTTAAATTTGCAATTTAGTAGGCTATGTATCGTTCTAAGTGAGTGTATAATGTATTTATGCAGATAAAGTTGGACATTTTTATACATCCATCTTAAGAGCTGGGTGATAATATAGTTACATTTGTAATGAAATAAAAAAATCAAGCAGTTGAGATTTGCAATATATTGCCCTAAGTTGTAAGTATGCGGATAAAGTTAGATATGTTCACATATCCACCTATATATAGAGCTTGCCAATAATATAATCTACATACTATATTGCCCTAATTGAGTATACTGTATGTATGAGGATAAAGTTGGATATTTTTATATATCCAAAAGAGCTGTCCGATAATATTTTGCAACACAATTAAAAAATCAGGCAGTTGAATTGGATGCTGGATTGCTGTTGGATGTAATATACAACCCACTAGAGCTGCGAGATAATGCAGTTTACAGTATATATTCATATTTATGCAAATATTGTTATTAGATGTTAGTGGTTATTGAACATTATATTAAACCGGAAGACTCTAAATAAGTATTAGCAACCATTCACACACGTGCCAGATGAGCTTTGCTTTTCTGTGTTTGGTTTTAGGATCACAAAGTGGCCTTTTTTGTGTTTGCGGTTGTGATTGTGTGTTGTGTTAAATGGTGATTAGTAGAGTGGGTCGGTCAGCTGCTGATTTCAAACGGGTAAAGGGGTATGAACAGCTGCCCATAAACTCACTCTTCCTCTGTGATGATGATTTTAACATGGATAAATGAGATTTAAAAAAGTATTTTTTACACTTTTGGTCAAACGTGGTCTGAAGACTAGAGTGATCCGAACAGAAATATATAGATATATAATAGATAGTATGATAGATATGCTTATTTGCAGTGTTATATGCATTTATCCAAAATCTCCTCATAATAGGTTGAATATCATGGCCAGATCACATTTCACCCCAAAATGAAAAATATAATATAAAAATAAAAAAAAATATATATATATAAAATATATGAATAACTATTGACATTTAAACAGAACCTCTGACTTTATTAGCACATTTATCCCCCTAAAAATGTCCATTAATCGAATGCACAAAAAACTTTATGCTACAATAATACTGAAAATTATACTGAGTTTGAATGCAACACAAATATACACACTCCCTCTTTGTGCATCTGATTGGTCACTGACGAGTGTGGATTTTGACTCCAAAATGACCTCTTGCCTCAGACCAAAAGTTAAGCTGTGTCTACAATCACCTCTCTCATGTGGCTTGGACACTTCCAGAGGTCATCGCTATGGTCACACGGCTCTTAAACAGCCACTGCAGTGAACAATTATCTGACCATAACATAAAAGCCAATCAGAGTCTTCAGAGCTGACCAATGCATGCACACTGGTTCATACAAACCAGTTAGAACAACAGACCCATTTAACAACCTGATGATGTTTGAAAGAGTTTAGTGAATTTGCAGATGGAATTTTTGAAGCATTTTAATATCAAACAGACTACTACATTAATACAATAAATAATTTTCAAGTAACAATTATTCAATTATTGAGAAAAAACATTCTACACTTTTGAGTAATGAATGCACAAAAATAATCTTTGGCAAAACATATTTTGTTTTTGTGAATGCAGAGTAGTTTAAACAATAACATTTTCCATTTAATAAATTACAATTTAATGTACAACTAGCCGCATGTGCTGAATCCATTGAAAGCATAAATATTAAATAAACAATTAAATACGATCAAATAAATTACAGTTTCAATTCTGAGGTCGCCTTCAATCTCAAACAAAACATTCTTGAGCGTTAATTCAGTCAAGGAAATTAAATTACATTAATACTACGAAGTATCAGTTAGATGCTTCCAAAGTGCATCCTTGACCATGCATATGTTGTTCGGGGTTCCTGCTCAATTACAGCAGTACTGGTGAATAAAGTGTTTCTGGGTTTCCAAAGATCATTCGTTTCCAAACAGCTTGGCTGAAATGAGTGATTGTGATGTCATAGCAAACATTCCGAGTTCCAAAAATCCAGCTTTGTCCCTCCGTGGCGATGGAACTTTCAAAAACATCACAATCACAGAATCCTCTCACTTTCGCCTTCATTCTACCAGGCTTCTGAACTGTCGCAGCTGGACCCGGGCGAGGGCGGGTCGGTGTCGCTGGTCCAGGTGCGGTCGGTGCGCAGCTTCTGCATGTTCCCTGTGATCAGCGTGAGGAGCGCGGCTTGCGAGTGAGCTGATGGCTCTTCGCCTTGGCTCTCCAGCAGAGTCACCAAGAAATTGATGTAGCGCATGGCCAGCCGCAGGATCTCATTCTTGCTGAGCTTTTTCTCGGGCGGGTGTGTGGGGATGAGTTTCCGCAGCTCTGAGAAAGCTGTGTTGACATTATATTGGCGCCAGCGCTCGCGTGTGTTGGTGAACACCTTCCTAGTCATGATACCGCAGTACTTCTGCAAAAAAAATAATAAAATAGACATTATCTGAAAATGAGCATGGGGACAAATGAAAGGGATTTTGTTAATAGTTAAGTACAAACACTTACCAATTTCTGTTGTCTTGAAGCTCTATGAACGTTGGAGCATCAGGCACAAATTGAAAAATAGTCCCGACATCAAGTGAAAGCAGCACGGAGCAGAGTGTTTAGGAAAGATAAAGTGCTGTCAGGTAATTGCAGAAGTAATGAAAATCAGCATCCGTCCTCTCACTCTCAGCTATCTGACACTCTCTGAACCCTTGACTCCTCAGATGGAAAACAGGGTGAAAGAGAGCGAGGATGTGAGGGAGGAGTGGGGTTTGGATTGTGCTTCTCATTTTTATAGTCATGCCGCTGTGTGACGTTGCAGGGTGTGAGCGGTGTGGGGGGAGGAATGGGGGGCATGATTTTTACATCTGCCATTAATGCGTTTAAATTGATTAACATAATTCGTTGTGTTTCCATTCACAGCTATAGCATCTGGGGGGCTAAATACAAAGAAATCCAACTTTTTACCAACTGAACATGAAAAACAAACGGCGGTCTACTGTTTAAACCAAGCAGGGTACATTAATTTCATATAAAAAGCTTTTGTATGCATCATGCCCTGCGCTTAATCTTCAATTCACAGCAAAAACTCAAACACTAAAATATACTAAAAATATATAGCATATTTTTTATAATTATAACTTCATCATTTTTTAGTATTTAAATTGTATTAATGAATCAAATCTAAATCTTATTATTACATTAATTATATGTAGATTAAATTACTTTGATCTATGAATTATATACATACATAGATATACAGAACTAACTAAAACTTAATAGAAACATAAAAAATATGAACATAAAGTAGTTAGTGCTGTCAATCGATTAAAAAAATGCATCACACTTTTCCCCAAAATTAATAGTGATTAATCCCACCTAACATTAAAGTTATTAATTATACTTTTATATTGCAATCATTTCACATTCAATCTTCAAATTAATGTAGAAACAACGTAAAGACAGTATATTTTTAATATTTGTTTAATGGCATCTTTTTATGAAGCGAGTATCACTGATACCAATACTACTGATGTCTCTAGGACATTTTTTCCTTATATGTAACCATTGACTAGCCATTCAACATTACAGTATAAATGAGAGCTATCAATTTTAACATTTATTAGACTTTTAAAAAATAACAACTACTAATTTTAGTGAACTTAAACAATCTTCACATAAACCCTATAATAAATGTCATATTTAGCTACCTGTGCCCTTCAGCAAGTAGGAAATATACAGAAATTAAATTAAATTCTAAATTAAATATAGATGAATCCTTAAAGCTCAAAGGTTACTGGTTTCCTCCTGATTAACAGACATCACAGCAGCTGGTTATTAGCTTATTTTGGCTGCTTTAAGAGCGGCCGCTGCTGCTGAACATGACGTGGATCTGACACGCATCGGATTTTCTCAACTCTTTACCTTTTTCTGACTCACTTCAGGTCTTAAAGTCTGTACTAATGAGCAGACGAGTTGAATGGGGTGTGTTAGATGAGAGAGACAGTGCTGCTGCTCCAGAACAGTTTTCAGAGACATGTTCTTAAATGTGACTCATATATAACAAATACTTGCATGCACAGTTTTAAGGCAGCTTTAATCGCCTTTTTGGTAACTTCATGGCTTAACTGACGACATAACTATGACATTGCATGCTTGTAGTTTCTTTCGCACTTTAATACGAAATGTGTTAATTGCGTTAAATATTTTTAATGCGTTAAACTGGGAAAAAAAATCACATGCGTTAAAGCGCAAATTTTGACAGCACTAAAAATAGTGTATACACACTATTATAAAAAATTATTTTAAGTTTAAAATATACTAATATCATTTTATATACTATTATTTTTATAATTCATATTTTAACTTAAAATAAAAAATAGGCAAATAGAAAAAATAGGCAAATAAAAAAATAGATATACGTTACAGTAGCCTGCCAGTCATATTAAAACATGGATTAAATGGGTAATAAAAAATAAAATGAAGCCCGTCTCAGAGGTATAATCCATCTCACCAAAATGTAAAGCCTTGTTAGTTTTGACAAATATTTTAGTTTTTGATGTTCTCATTTTAATTAATGTCAATATATTTTGCATATCTTCCACTCTCTTTAAAAGTCAGCTTATACTGTACAGCTTCACATTGCGCATCTTTTCTAATAATTTCAATGGCACTTAATGAAGCGAATGAACCAGCAGATACCACTTTTTACTGTTGAGAGTTGATTCATAATCTTAAACCCTTCCACATTCAAGCCATCGGGAAACAACAGAAAGGACGGACAATTCAAAGCAGACTTATTGCCTATGAGCTCTAACAAATACGTGGCTGTTGTACAAAATGTGCTTCCCTCTTTTGTTGGGATGCTGGATGTCCACCTGCTAACAGACCTATTACAGCGACTCTGTCCAATAGTGAAGTGACATCATAATGAAAACCTTCCTCTGATTGGACAACACGGTGCCAAAATACCCCACAGCATATTCACCCTGACAGAGTAATAATATGGGTTTTGTCTGAATGATGGTAATCTTGTTTAGAATGTCCTGGGGCTTCACATAAATTACACTAGGTTATGACAGAGGCAAGCTTGTGGATCAACACATTCTTCGGGGGCCAAGGTCTCCGAGGCCCCTTCTCGCTCTCTCCCGAACTCTCAACCTCCCTTCAGATCAAAAGCTGGTGTCTCGCTGCAGCAATTGTTGCGTTAAAAGTCTCTGAGAATTGTGGGGGATTTGCATAATGGGATTATGGAGGGATTAGGATTCAGGCAGAGGACAGACACAGTTAGGATGGAGCTGAATTCACGACTCCATTCATACAGACTCAACCGCTCAACACACCCTGCACCTGCAGAGCTGCCTTTCAGATCTGCCAAAAACTTCAGCAACACACAAACCTGCCCGAAACAAAACTCTCACCCAATCCACACTCAAACTTTCAGCCTACCTGAGCTCCGGTTTCCCACTGGAAAGAAACGCAACGCAGTTGTTTCTCCAAGACAGCGATGCAACTAAACGAAGACTTCTGCAGCTCAGATGTTTCTCCTGTGAAAAACACTCCAGCAATCTCTCAGATTTGGTCAAAAGTCTGCAATCAAAAATTTGTATTTGTCAAAAATTTATATTTGTCAATTTGAATTCAAATATTTCAAAGACCAAATGAGCTATGCAATCCAAATTAACTGTATCAAATGCGTCTGTTTTCATTTGAAGGAATTCCACAACAAAACTGGTATTTACATGAATTAAACATAACTAAATTGAAAGAACAAAATAGGAGAAATACAATTTTGCTTGTTTTAAATAAAATAAAAATATATATTTAAATTGCGAATACATACAGTATATTATATTATTTCTATAATAGAAAATTAGAAATACAAATTTGCTTTAAAATAATATTATATACACTATTAAAAATATATTTTAAATATATTTTAAAATGCTTTTAAATGCTAATTTAAAAAAATTTCATTATATTTAAAATAAAAAAAGATGTATATTTTAAATATATACAGTATATTATTTGTATGAAAAATGCAATCTAAGTGTAAGAAATACCATTTGGATTTAAAAATAATTATATATACAGTGGTGTGAAAAAGTGTTGGCCCCCTTCCTGATTTCTTATTTTTTTGCATGTTTGTCACACTTTAATGTTTCAGATCATCAAACAAATTTAAATATTAGTCCACTTTTTCACACAGGGCCATGTAGTTTTGGATTTAGTTTCCCCTTATTAATAAAAACCTTCATTTAAAAACTGCATGTTGTGTTCACTTGTGTTATCTTTTACTAATATTTAAATTTGTTTGATAATCTGAAACATCAAAGTGTGACAGACATGCAAAAAAATAAGAAATCAGGAAGGGGGCCAACACTTTTTCACACCACTGTATATAATAATAATATTATATAAAATAATATAAATGCATCTAATATTTACACAATTATTAGTATACATTATTTATATTTGAAACTAAAATTCGGAATATATTTTTATTTTAAATATATACATTATTTTATTTTGTTATTTGTATGATGTATATAAATAAAACATGGAAACAAAAAGCGAATCAAACTAAAATAAATCTGACTGCAAAAGTAACTTACTGTAGGGTAAGTGGTTTGATCAGATCACCTCAGCAAGGACCAGTTAAATGCAGAAACCTTCCCCAACTGTTCTTATTTGAGCATTTAGTTGACATTGTTAAACACTGTTGACAGTGTAATAAGGGTGTAATAAGGAAGAGATTTGACCCAATGTTTGCAATGAAGAGAGCGGTTAAAAAGGTTCAGATTTGAACAGCATGCTGTTCTCACAGCCTTTTTCCATCTGAAAGAACGCTGTGATAACGGTCACATTATTGACGTATTTATTTACACCGCTGTGTTTTACTGCCTCAGACTGGACACACGTCTTCCCCCTCACACCCTTGTGTCCGAAAACACTGTGGTTTTATTTGCTTTTGTTTCAGTAGGCAAACAAGGGCAGTTCAGATGGTGTTGGGAGTTATTTATGGAGGCTGTTTGGTGTTTTACAGAGGCTGAGGCTCACGGGGTGCAGAGAGAGTGAAAGGGAGAGTGATGGAGAAAGGAAAATGCCCTGTGGGAGTGTCTGTTCTCCAGCTCATTCCTGCGAGGGGCTGCTGTCAGACTGCTGGCGTGCTGAGATAAGCCCTCCGACCCCCATCACTCTCCCTCTCTTCCTCCTCCTCTGTTCGTTCGGCGCTTTTCCTCTGCTCTGACTGTCAGCGATAAGAATATCGTCCTGTAATTGAATGACTATCTTTCTATCACGCTCATTTCAGAAAATAGCAAGGGGCTGGAAATGCGCATGGTGTGGGAGATAAATGAATGGCCACTGTCACCGTAGCCCCTAATCAGCATCCAGACTGGTAATTTTTAAAAATGTTTTTTTAATGCCAATCAATTCAGCTTCACATACCGAATGATTTATTCAGTTCCAGACCGGCGTGACCAGCTCTAAATAAGCGGCGTCGCAGCAGAAGCGTGTAGCAGGAAATGTAATTCGCCGCATGTTTGTCAATACAGTGTCACATTTGAATAGAATTCTTTCATCTGCGTTCAGATGCATCCTTTACACCTGCTTCTGTGTACAGACTGTAAAGCTAACAGATGCATGTGTGCATACGCTCATTCTCAACTGTAGGTCAAAGGTCAGTAGATAAATAAATGAGCCACATAATACTGGAGTCTTATAATTAGAGAGAAAAAAACAAACAGCACTAAATACCTCTGAACAATCAGTGCTCAAACCTTCTGCTGCATCCTAGAAACCTGTAATTCAATTTTAA